TGCGCACTCACACACACACCCGTCCATATATACATAGGTACCATAATACTCGTATATGTGCCACATATCTCTTTAAGGTTTTTTGTAATTTGCCAACCCAGCTCCATAATTTCCCTGCGCTGTGACGCGCTCCTCCGTGTCTTTTGCAATGGACGAGATGTGCAATGCGAACCAAGCTTGACGTCTGTCAGTCTGCCAGTCCGTCTGTCCGACTGTCCGTCAGCCCGTCAGTCTGTCTGTCTATTAGTTGGCCATATATTGTATTTTGCCGACAAGCTGCTGTCGTTGCCTGCCTATTGGTCCCCTTGCTGTCAGCATTCCCACCTCTCCCCCACAAGCATCGGCATTTTGTCAGCTATTTGCACAATGTGCACATAAATTTTGTATCTACTATAATTTGGCGCGTTTTTATTTGTTGTTGTTGTTTTTGTTTTTGTGGCAACACACATATTGTGTGAATCTAGTTGTCTGTCGCTCAATACCACGCTCCCTCACCTCCTAACAGACGGCTGATGATTGGAGATGAGTGCGTGACACTGAAAAATGTCAAGTTAATTGCGCTTCTTTTTTCAATTGTTGGTAGTATGTTTGTCCAGGAATGGCAAGACTTTTCCCATTTAACTTATTCCGATGGAAACAGTACAATAATTTAGTGTTATTAGTAGCCTTGCCCAGCAATGATCGAACAGGTAGTGTGAAGCTGCACAAAAAATTACAATCAAGGAATATGAAATTGATGATTTTTAATCATTTTTCTAACATAGAATAGTATTGCTTTTAGTAAATACTACTGTCTTTAAAAATTACATAATTCTTCGTTGTTATTGAAATGATAAAATAAATACTTCAACTATTATTACATACTAAACATAGTTCACTATTTGTATTTAATATTTATTTTCACCTTTCAAATTACACTGAAAATTAATAACAAAGAAATAAGTCTCGAAAACAGATTAAACATTAAAGCGATAAAAAAAGCGATTGATTTGTTCTGATTTGCTTGACAGTTTAGAGTTAAGTATTTCACTAGATGGATATTAGCTGGGATACCTCTGGTACCTTGACGTTTTTAATTGGAATACAGCAATGAAGACTATGTTTTATTTATTTGGAACACTCTCTTAGAGCATTACTTGCATTACTTGTTCTTTCAAATTGTTAAAGGACAATGCGCTCAATTTGTCTTTAATCACTCCGTATAGAGCCGACATAAGAATATTTATTAAGCAAGCCTCTGTACAAATATATTTCCATTTATAAAAGGTATGGTACTTGTAAGTTTATTCATATAAACTGTTCTGAAATAATAAGAAAGAAAAAGAAGATTTGTATTTATGATAGTTTATTTTCGAGAAGAATTGCATCCAGATAAAATAATGGTACTATTTTTATTGAGAAAAATGTGCAATAGGAGTTCAGTTTTAGAGCTAATCTACGAAGCAATATGGAATACTTGTGTATTATAAATTCTCTTATTATAACATTTACTTCAAGGTTTGATTTGTAAAATTTGTTATAAGCCAAATCTTACAAAAACAATGCTATATTTTTAGAGTTCAAAGTGGTTATGAGGTTGGTTGCCATAGTATAAAAAGTATTAAAATTCTTTAAAATTTAATGAGCTTTGAGTTGATTGGAGGGAATGTGGGTGCGGACTTAGAAGGTCATCGTTCGATACAAAGAAACGCTGCCGCTCTTAAATTGGAATAAAACTATAATATAATTATTATTTATCTATAGATTGGCATCTTACAACACAGTCATAAGTAGTTTGCTTCTCATAATAAGGTGCCAGTAAAGTTTCAAAGCTAATTCGGAAGATACCAAAATATCCACCTGGACTCAAGCAGAAATGGTTTCATTTGGCTGCTTTTAAAATGCTGAATTGAATTCATAATAATTGAATAATTTTAATTTAAAACAAGAGAGAACGCTACAGTCGAGCAAGCCCGACAGTGTAATACCCTGTACCCAGGTAAACTTCCGTCACTGAGTTATATGCGCCCATAGCAGCAGCAAAAAGAGGAAGAAGAAGAGCGAACTGGTTGCTGCAGTTTGTGGGGGTTGTACTGGCGAGAATTTGTTTCGCTAATAACTTTAGAATTGACCGAATTGAATAAAATTTTGAACAACAGTAGACAATTATATATAAATTATGTGTGCAAAGTTTGGTTTAGGTAGCATTTGAAATGTGGACGCTATTGACGAAATTCTGTAGCGGGGGAAGGGGGGGAAATTAAAAAAAATAAAATAAACTCGTCCTTACTCGGACCCAGGAGAATCTGGATGCCACCTTTGGTTATTCTAGCTTTTATAGTTTCTGAGATCCTCGCGTTCATCCAGACGGACAGACGGACAGACGGACGGACATGTCTAGATCGATTTCTCTCGTCATGCTGATCAAGAATATATATACTTTATGGGGTCGGAGATGCTTCCTTCTGTATGTTACATACTTTGCACAAACCTAATATACCCTTTTTACCCTACGGGTACAGGGTATAAAAATCGTAGAGAAACGGTTTGATTTTGGATCAAATCCACATTCAAATGGAGCTCTTTTATCTCGATCAATTAAAGATCAAGCAAACGTAGCGCTAATCTATATATGTGCAGATCACGCACACATCTCTGTTGCACGCTTTGTTTTCCAATTACAAAATTTGTAATTTTAGTTTTTAGTGCGATGCGCCTCGGGAATCTGCCATCTACGCTTGCGCAAATCTGCAACAGCAGCGGTGGCAGCGGTGGCAGCAACGGCAACAGCGGTAGTAGGAGACGGCTGAGTATCCAAACTCGTTATTTAAGTTGCCTCAAATTGGCGGCATTGCACAGTACATATATGCTAATCTAACAAGAATGCCAAATGGCAGGCGATGTCAGTTCCCAGTAGAGTGAGCCGCCAGTGTTGCCAAATTGCCAGACACTGGCTTGAAGTGCCAAGTGGGCGCCTTCAGCGTAGAATGTCAAGAAAACATACCGCTTTCGATTTTTTTGTTTCAACTATTTTTCGAAATTTCGAAAACGAATGCCCGCCAAAAACAAAATATTTGAAAATACACAAATGTCTCGTTTTACGGGTGTATATGCAAAAATTATTTTTGGCACTCCTCAAATTTTGATTTCTTTAGCAAATTTTTTTTTGTTGAACGATATTTCCCTTGGTAGTTATTTTTGTTTTGTGCTGTTGTTGTTTCTTTGGTTTCTTCTTGTGGCGGCTTTGTGCGGTAGCCTATCATTTACTTTTCAATGTGTATCAAAGTTGTTTTTTCTATTAAAGTGCGCCGTTTTATGGGCATTTTTTTGCACCTACTACCATTGTATTATTTGAGCTACTCGTACAATGGGCTATTCAGCCATAGAGTATTTATTATTGTAAATGAAATGAAGCCTTTTGTTAGTTTAGCCAAAAAAATACATTTGTAGCATTGAGCGGAATGTTTCTTTTTTTTCTACTTTCGGCATATCGAGCGCTCTTTTTTTAATGACACTAAACAACATGATATTGCGGTTTTCCACAGCACGTTGGCTTATGTTGGCTGATGTTGGTGGCGACGGCACTTGTCATATAGGCTTCATCAAATGTACATATGTATTTGTGTGCCATTATTGGTTAGCATTGAATTGCGGTTTGAATTGGTAGCTGATGAGTTCAGTTTAGAGTCTATTTTTTCTTTCGGTTAGGTTTGGCTTCATGACAGCCATGAAATTTGCATAGGCAAGTCACATCAAGTCGCTGCCGAAAAGGTTAAATGCCAAAGTGGCTAAACAACAATTGAAAGCAATCATGCTGCCGCTGAAACCCAAACTCCTCATTTAATGACTTAGTACTGCACATTAGCATTTTAAGATTGTCTGCCAAATTGAATTGATAGACTCTTAACTACCTATTTTTTTGGGAACTTTAGATTTGGCATGAATAATGATAGAGTGTCTATATATAAGTGGGCTTAAGTGCACTTCGATCAACATCTCTAAATAGGCTAAAAACAATCCATCTCTTTCATGTCAAAATATATATTTATTTACTAAATTCCAATTCAATCAAAGTAAGATTAGGTCGGGGACATCTAGAGGTTAGTTACCTAACAAGCACATTGTTGCAGAAAATGGACACAAAACAATCTGTATTTTCTCTATATTGGACATAAAATTAGGCAATTGTTAAATAGCATTCGAGATAATAATTCATACTACAATACTGGGTAATCAATGAAGGTTGGTTCTTTAGAGTGAATATATTCAATTATGAAGGTAGTTGCAATGAAACGAATGAAGAGGAAAGAAAAGGCCTTCTTTTGATTACACGGCCACAAATATTGCATTATAAAGATTTAACTTCAACCATATTATGTTGATATCACCACGTGTTACATTTCAGCTTAAAAATCTTTTAGAGAAAACTATTAGAAGTATATTATGTTCCCTGCAGCTCTTTAAAACAGATTTTACAAACATTTGACAAACATTATTCGCATTAATAATTTACTTTAAAAGGTTTACTAAGCTCCATAATTAGGTAATATGGAAAAAAGCTGCCATGCATTGATAGAAAGGTCTGGAATTTATAAACAATGGGGCACCAACCAGTTGAGTTTGCTTTCAAGCTTACTAAAGAAAATGTAAAGGATATCTCTACGGCTTTTTAAACTGTTGAGTGTTGGGAACTTTTACTTTATTTGTTAAACCCTGCACCCAAAGGGAATACTATTTTACCGCTTAAAATAAAATCTCTCATCGCAGCTTTTATTGTGTGGCTGCTTTGACTCAAGCCCCCATCCCCAAAATTATTAAAATACTTTACTTTAGTTTCTGGATCGATGTTGGGCTTGGTTTCTGATTTTGATAAACAATTGAAGATGTGAGCAGACTGTCTGAATTACAGATTAGAGTCAAAATGAGTTGTATCGATTTTAATTGTAATTAATTTTAATTAAACACTTTTCAGTCAAGCTAAAAATAAAAGTGAGGCGGGCAAGCTAGTACACTTAAACAAATAGTGGGCACAATTTTAGTTCTTTTTTATTTGTATTATTTTAAGTGCTTTTCATTTGTATTATATTTTTGCAGGCTTGCAATCCAGAATCATCAAATAATATCCCTTTCGACTTGAAACTCCTTTTAATTTAAGCGCATCTACTAAGGAAACAGAAATTAAAAATTTCATCACTCTCATCAACTCTCCTTAAGTTTGTTTTAAAGCTTACTATATTGGTATTTTAACTTTTGTTTAGTTATTTTGTTCTAAGTTTTTGTTTTGTAACTCTTTTTTGTTGTCTTCTTTTCCTTCAGTTTGTTGTTGCGCTACGCTTTTTTCGGGAAACCCCAATTTGGACCAACTCGTGCGTTCCATCAGTTCATTATCCATGCGGCAGCCCAAATAATCCTTGACTTGTAGCCGACACTTGGCATTGTCGTTCTCATTGCGTCGCAAACACATTGTATAGAGTAGGAACTGTTTCTTGCATACACCTGCATGGTCCAACGGAAAGCTGCCCTTCTCAGGAGCCGTAGGAATAAACTTTTTTTGGCCAAACACTTGCGAAGACATATCGTACATACATATGTTTTCCAGGACAACTTGTTATTTCAATTTATTTCTCATGGCATGCTTGTGAAATGGGAGAGAAGTGCGAACAGAGCTTTGCTTCTTCAGTTTTGTAGTCAGTTTGTAGTCGTAGAGAATACATTAATTCTCGCTTAACATCATTAATATTCCATATCGGTGATCAGAAAGGCGGTCGAGTATTGACTTCAATGATTCACATATGTATGCAAGAGTATATTAAGTATGCCCAGCCCAGCAACCTTGAGTTGGGGAATTTGGCACATAACTTGATTACCCCTATCATTATAAGCAATCGCCCTGCTTTTCGATTGGGTTCGCCAAATCTGCAATGCCGGGCTAACGCCATGCTCGTTGCAGGCCAAGGGGCCAGCCTATCATGGCGCATGTATCTCTCACTTATATTAAGTAAGATTAATGAAAACATATGCAAAACAAATGCGAATGCGACTTCGAATGCGTAGAGTGTTCCAAGTGACAAACTCGCTGAGGATTGGAGTGTACGACGACCGTAATTGAACATTTGAACATGAGTGCTGTGGTTGTGGTGTCGGTGATTATTTCAAGTCAAACCCTATAGATGTGTGTATCCGTGTGTACACTGAGAGAACTAAATCAGAGCTTAATAAGCTATAACAAAAAGTCATTTCTGCTTACGAACGAAATGAGCAAAGCGCTTTAAAACAGACTCTTCCATTCTTGAATAGAAAAAGAATCTCTATTTTTATTAAAATTAAAATTATGAAGGCAGGAGACGATAAGTATAGTACAATGGTTTATATGGAGTAGCTGGAAAATTGCTGCAAGCATCTATGTACTAACAAATTGGATATTTTCCGGTAGTCGGTACCGGGTAGCGACCCAGCTGAGGAATCGGTTTGCTCCGAGCTACTGTTTTTTTAAGGTTTCGATCAAAAACATTGCAATTAGATTATTTTGTTTTTTTTTTTTTTTTTGCTATAATGTTATGTTCCCAATGATTTCCAAAATTCGGGCAGAATTCGACAACTCATCATGACAACGCCTCACCACATCCAATAATGCGGAATTTTAGGCAGGCAAGTTTTATTCCACGCATAGTTCAAATCTGGCATCAAGTGAATTTCACCTTTTTCTTATTGTTACACAATTTTCTGGGTGCCAAAAAAGTGCACTCACTGGAGTGCTCTAAAAATCGGTTGGGCGAATTTAATAGTAGCGAGGGCCAGAGCTTTCATGAGAGAGGAATTAAAAACCTTACTATACTTAAAATTACTAGAAGTCAGTTAATAAGAAGCATATCCGAACAAAATCTATAAAGCATAAGACATATAACGTAGGAAAAAAATGGGTTTCTTTTTTCGCAACTCAATTGTTCTATATTTTCTTATATCTTATATTTTTCGTGATATAACGGCATCGCCGGCAATAGTTGTACTTCAATTCGATATTTTGTAAATACTTTACAACCTTATTTCAAGGTTTTCTTAAAAAAATTGCTAACTAAATCTAAGGTGTACTATTTAATTTTGATTTAATTTTTTTGTTCCCACTGAGTATAAAAATATGTTACTGCAGGTTCCATAGTTGAATCATAATTAATATTAATCATAATTATTATTTGTTTAAAAAATGAATGTAAATTTCTTGAAAGTTCTGCTTTTACAGTTTTTTCACAGTGTATATATTTGCATTGTATGGCCAGATTAGCATAAATTCGACGGCTTGTAATTGTGAGTGTATGTAAATGTGTCAGTGTGTGCGTGTGTGTGTCTGTGTGTATTTGTGTGCAGTAATGAATACATTTGCATGGGTAGCAGCAGGCCAAAAGGCATGTGGGCTGCCCCCATGGGCTTGTCATTATTAGGAATGCCAAACAGCATCGCGCACGTTTCTGTTACTGCTGTTGCTGTTGTTGTTGTTGCTGTTGCTTATATAATAAACACAAATCAGCTGTGCTGCAAAAAGCTATTAAAACTGCACACACACACACACGTACTGCTGCATAAATAATTCCAATAAGGCAAAAATAATCAAAAAGCTCTCGGCGCCTTTTAGCACAAAGTCTACACGCGCCCGCCTCTCTGAAGACAGTGTTGCCAAAGCGTTGCAATAAAATTGCCATTAAGTTGTTTGTTTGCATGTACAATGCTTGTTGTTTTGCCATCTCGCTTGCACCCCCACATGCAGTTTTGTCAGACATTTTCAAAAATTGTTTGACTGCTGCATTTGTTACGCGTATTGTTTGTGTTGTTGTTGTTGTCGCTGCTGCTGCTGCTGTGATTGCTGGCGCCGGCGACGCGTGAGTCACGAAATGCATTAAAAAATGCGACGACTACGACGCCTGCAACCGACGATTAGAGCGAAAAATTGATGCCAGCTATGTAGAAATCATGTCAGCCACACTTTCTGTAATTGTTTGCTGATATACCCTAGAAATGGCTTTTGGAGTGCATAACATCGGGATGTTGGGAACTAGGGAGGCGACTAACAAACTTTAATGATATGCAAATGCAAATACACATAATTCTGTTTTTACACGGTTTGAAAATTAAAAATTATGCATATGGTTACACGACTTTATTCCATTTAGCACGATTCATTTTGCATATGATCAATGAAGACGACTTTTTTAGGAACCAATCTACCGTGTAAAAACAGAATTAAGTGTATTGAAAACTGTTCATTGTTGAATAATTTTCAACTATGTACGGTATTTAGCGTTGTATGTTCATAAGAATATAGTGTTCTCGCATACTAAAGGCAAACGAGTAAGATACGCACTCTAAAACAACATTGATAATCAAACTAACAAATGTTTGATTATTAGAAAAACTATTGAATCCATTGAGAATTATTAGTTATTAAACATTTTAAACGAAATTTGGCTCCACTCGTGCTTATAACATTGTGCGAACATTTTCTCTTTTAATTTTTAATCCTTTACATAATCTATTATATTTTTACCAAAAGTAAAGGCCCAAAAACATTATTTTGTTAAAATGAGTTATGTACATATATATAAATGGAAAATAAATTTAAAGTGATTTCTTTTCTTCTTACAAAAAATAAATAAAGTCAACAGTTACGCATGTGGGACTTAGTGGTTCTTATTCGCTGCAATAATGTGAGACTGATCCGATTTTCTTATAAAGTTAAACTATTGATATTTATTACATGTTTATTCATATATAGTACTTTCCTGTGGAATACGAAAAGTGTGAGAAATTAATTAATAAACAAAGTTGGAAAAATAACTTTATGAAGATTCAGTTAAATCCCAAAATTATTGAATTTATATTAAATGGAAAAGAATCCAAGTAAAAAGAAAACTCATTGCAAATATCGATTTTCTATTGATCCCATACCATTCGAATATATGTTTTTCAGCTACAAGGGCTAGAGCGTTTATGTGATGGGAGTTATGAAACTATACTCAAGATGACAAGTCATTTAAAAACGGGGTAAGTCCGATTTTTTGTTTATTATTAATCATTACTTTCATTGAATACTTTAAATCAAAATAACACTATTTTCACTGTTTTACTTCTAATTAGGTTTTAGAATTATAGGTTTTTGGCATAGCTTATCTTTCCCAATAACAATGTCCGAAGACCAAGTACTTCAAATCATATTTAAGTCTTTAAGCCACAATCAGCTTTACAACTTGAGAGGGTATTTCATATTCGTATCTTTTGTTTATACTATAGTTGCTGTTGAAACGGTTTTTGCACAAATTGCAAATACATCGAAAGACGCTTACGCTTGTGCGTTTGCTTCCGTGTAATTGTTGTTGCTGCTCTTGCTGTTACTGTTGTTGTTGTTGTTGTCAATTGTACGGCGGCCACTTGTCGCGCGCATCCTCCAGCCCATTAAGCTGACAAATTGTTATCGTGGCGCTCAAGCATCGTAAATTAAGACAGGCTGACAACGATCCAGCCACCATACACACCATACACGCCTTTCACCCACTTCGCCACTGCCACCAGAGGCCAGTGGGGCAATGCATCATGCAGTTGTCAAAAGAAGACAAAAAAATTAAGCGCGTGAGAGATAGAGAGGGATGGCAAAGAAAGTAGAGGTTGCTCCACTTTTGGCGAAACACAAAATTCGACTTTCTGGCGACGCGCTCCGTTACGCAATTGGCTTGTCGTTTTTGTTTTTGATGATATTGTTGTTGCTTTTGTCGTTGTTGTTGTTGGCGTTACAGTTACTGTTACAGTTGCAAGCGCACCGAAAAAGTTGAGCTCCAAATTGAACACGAGTGGAGCGCCCGGACAGGCCCGATAAGCAGAGTGACCAAAACTTACAAAAACAAAAATACGCATTTCTCTTCAGAGTAAAGAATTTAGACAAATGGATTTTTGTCGTTAAATAGCGTTATATTAAGCAAGTATAGAAGATCATTTAGCTTAGCTTTAATAACAAGAGAAGTTATTATTTTGTTTATGAAAATGCTGCTAAGCTTTTAGTGCAATTTCTGTGGTTGATATTATAAATATCAAAAATTCATAACTTTTCAATTATCAAGACTTTTGTTTATCGACTCATGGAAATTTTTCATTCAATCACTTTTTTGTTGACTTATTAAAACAAAAATTGCTAATTATCTCAGCACATCCAAGATTTGCTAAAGTCTGTCTAAAAATCTACAATATAAAAATTAAAAATCCTTTATCACATTTTTTTTCAAAGTAATGAAGCATGGAATAACCGGGAGTAGCCATCATATACCAAAAAATATGTTAAATATATCAAAAAATCTGTATTTTTGAATCTGCAATGTATCAAATCATATCAATTAATCAGAAAGTCATCCAAATACATAATCATTTTATCAGCAATTCTTTCCATCATTTAATTGCAGGAGCATTAAATCAGTATGATTGCTAAATTATCGAATAATTGAATCAATAGGCCATCTTAATATAAATTTATTAAATATATCGTTGAAGCATTGAATTATAAAATCATTTGATATCGATATTGCAACGGTATTGAATTAACGATTCTAAAAA